GGGGTCCCAATTAAGGAGTTCTATCTCATTATGTTGACATTATTTTGTGCTTGTCCATCAGGTTTGTCTTATTAATAACTCTTTTTTTATATGTTAGCGAAGGAGTCAGGTCCTGCAAGACTCAGATAGAAGGTTTAAACTTTTTATTTTCTTGAACATGGAAGCATATTCCTGTAGGCTGCTTTGCTTGGATTTAGCAAGAAGAAGGTCCCGAGGCTAGTGTTTCAAGGTTGATATATTCAAGACACTCTATCTAGACGAACATTTTTTTATGTAGCTGCTTGAATTTAGCAAGAAAAAGCTCCCGATGTTAGTGTTTCGAGGTTGATATATTCAATACATTCTATCAATAGATATGTCAACTTAGAAATGTGATACAACGGGATTTGCTTTATGTTTTTAATAGTTCTTAGGCTTTTTTTTTTGTGTTTGGAACAATTTGAGATTGTTAGTTCATTTATTTATGTTTTTTAACTAGCAAAAATACTATTCATGTTGTTTTTTTTAATATATCATGTGATGAAAGATTTTGTCACTGTATTTTCATTTTTATGACATAATTGTTTTCAAGTGACGTTAGATTTTGTCACTGTAATATATAATTCATGACAAGCAAACTTATCACTAAATATATGCAATTAATGATAATTAATATATTTGTAATATTGATAAATTTTAAATGATCACTGAAAATATTCTTGGAGACAATGAATATTTCGTCACTACTTCTATTTTTTTTTTGTGACGTTTCTGTTATCGTCGTACTTAAAATTACTTTCTGTGACGAACAAAATTTTGTAATTATAAAATAACATTTTCATGACGAATTATGTGAAACATGACGATTTTTATAACAAAAATGCCACAAAGATATTCCTCACTAAAATTTTATAAATTCGATTAAATAAAAAAATTCGTCACTAAAGAATAATATTTAGATGACAAAGTTAAGTATTCGTCATTTAAAACTTGTCTTTCTATGACAAAACAATCGTTTACATGATAAAACTCTCATAATAAACGTGACGAAATTATCGTCATGAAAGATGAACAAATAACATGACGATACTTATAAATGTCATTAAAAGTGAAACATTTGGTGACAAGTTCGAAATTTGTCATCTAGACCTATTATGACGCGGCTACGGTGACGATCTTCGAGACGATAAAATTTCGTCATCAATTTACTTTTGTGACGAAAAATAAGGCTTACATGACGATTTTTATCGTCATGTTTTATGAAATTTCTTGTAGTGTGTACTCCCATACGTGTTTTGGTTGAGTCTAAGTGTCGAGTCTAAGTGTACCAACGTCCACAGGACTTCACGAACGACTTAGTTGAATCAAGTTCGACTAAGTATGATTTGTGTTCTTCTTATAAGGTCAAGATAAGGTGTTGATCGTAGTATTTTGACTATATGTAGGTGTTCAATGAGCCGTGATCTTATCCTACCGGCTTTTGTGTGCTATCTACTACTTCGTAATCCAGGTGGGTTTACTCATAAAATTTCTATGTTATACGTGTTTAAGTGTTTAGTTGGTATGATCATTGTATGCATGTGAACTATGTGGCCTACCGATGTGAGTTGTTACGGCCGTCGGCGGTTGTCCCCGTCAAGTTACGGTATGGTTGCCCTTGGGAGGCAAGCCTCATTAAGACCTAATGAAAGGTCGTGTCCTTGCGTGGCACGCACTCCCGTCGTTAGAGTTTATGCATCCCCTTTCCGCGGCCAATGATAGATGTGCACATGAGTGAGATTATTGTTGTGATATTGATAGGAGATGAGACGTGATGATGATTGATTTATATTCATGCTGCGACCATTTATGTGCATTGTAATGAGCACTACGGTTTCATTTCTGCTCACTTCCACCCGCTCTTTCCACCCGCTCTTTCCACCCGCTCTTCATGGTGTTAGAGGTATGCTGTAAAAGCTGTGTTTTGCAGATTATATCAATTCCATTTTGATCTGGCAATCATGTTTCGGTCAAAGTACATATGTTTGCAGTTTATTTATTTATGC